GGTGTGGAGTGGCTTTCCTTTATAATCACTTTTAAGATCGGTTACAGGTGACTCAAGTGAATTGAAATACATTATAGTAATTACTTATTGTATTATAAAAAAATATGGTTTTTATATTTTCAAATATTTTATTTAAATCTTTCTTATATTTTTTCTGTTTTATATTTTTATTAAATAATCTTTTTTATCACATTTTTTTTTAAATTTAATTTTTACCCATTCTATTTGTATTAATTAATTGAGATAGATTTTATTAATTTATTATAATAGATTGTGGTGTTTATATTTTTCCAAATTTTTTTAAATCATAATTTTATTTTTTCCCTTTTCTATCTTTATTAAATAATCTCTTAACCAAATCAGTCCCATTTCGAAATTTCCGTTTTATTCGTGTTGAAACCTCTGGGCTTCCCTTCAGAAAATGAAAACTACGCCCCTGGCTCACATGGGTGTTGATTCCACAGGGTGTTTTTCAGGGGCTGTTCGACGAGTGTGTGCGTCATGTTTTGGTCTATGTTCTGTGTTGGTAATGAGGTTGTTTTTGCATGTTCACTCATAATACGAAATTTGGAGCTGTAACGCTGCTTTATCTATAAAACAACGCTGATGATGACGCAGCGGCTCAGGAAGTGCTTGGCTGCTGGAGGAAGTGCAAAATGGAAAATGGAATATTTTCGGGGCGTAACGGGGGGCGTGGCAAAGGGGGCTGAGTGTTATGGTTGCTGTCTTGTTCAATGCATTTCGCATTTTGACATGTAATTAAACGTTTTGCGGTTGACAACAGCACGAGAAAAGAGGGCATAGAGAGCTTGTGGTTCGCAGAGCCATTTTCCATTGTCATTGGATAAATGTACATATATGGAGCACCCCCTCTCCTACTCCATATCCCCATATATGGCACAGCTTTGTACATATCTGTTACACACTCGCTCGTCTGCATAAATATTGCGGCTGAAACAATGAAATGCGGCGGCAGCAGAACGATTGATGTCAGAGGAAATGCGTCCTGCAAAAACCCACAGAGTGAAAAGGCTGAATTCAAATGAAGCGATATCGAAGGCGGAATGGCGGATGGCGAATGGCAAACAAAAGGTTGGAGCTCCCATCTCAATTTGTAATTCATTAAGTGTCAAAGGCGAACATAGCAGTGGTTAGGCAAATGTGTCGAGGGCCAAACAAATTATCTGGGGAACTTGGGGAAATTATTAAGAGAAAGCAACTCTTGACATGTCTTCTTATGGAATAAATTTCTGTGTTTGATGAATGTGCAAAACTATCTTTTCACCTAAAAAAAAAACAAAGAGAAAAAATATTATAAAATGAAATATACATATTTTAAATCTTAAACTTTCCTTAAAAATTACTCATACGAATTACAGAATTACGAATTACGGGGTTTCACCCACAAGAATTGGCATAAGGATAAATATTATAAAATAATAAATATTTTGGTTATTTTATTTCCTAAAAAATTACTCATACGACACGTATGACAGTTAGAATTTAAAATCTAACATTTCTTTCATACTTTTTGGCATGTTTTTGGGTGATTTCAGATGCCTAAAGGCTTCTTTGGCATCGCTTATGTATTTTTAAAGTTGCTTTCTTCGAAATACTAAATATATAGCTTTAAAAAAATGGAACTTGAGATATTCCCCCACCCATCAACAATTATTATCTCTTTGCGGTCATTGCTTGAGTGAACTTCCTGGCCCGCAATTAATTTAAGACCAGACCGAAAGGAAAGCATCTCAAGCAGCAGCTGCATCGCGGCGAAGTTTCACTGTGGGTTAAAGTTAAAGGTTTCCGGGGGGTTTCTGGGGTTTTCGGGGGGTTTCGGGGGGCTACGAAAGACGGGCGAGAAAGTTTTTGTGGAAATGAGGAAAATAACATTTCATTGCATACTTTTAGGGCAGCACTGCTCGGGTTAACTCAATATTTTCTTGGCTCCTTGTGGCATTTTGTTGTAGTTGCTGCTGCTGCTGCTGTTGTTTCGGTGCTCTCGTACTCAACGTACTTAAGCATGCATATGAAAATGTCGGATTCTAGGCTTTAATGCCCCACTTTCCGCCGCCAAGTGGAAGCGAGATGGAGCTAGCATTCAGTCGCCCATTCATTCATTCATTTTCGCATTTCACTGGCTCACATTTCTTTCTCCAAATTGTTAAAATGGAGCATGCAAAATAATTGCGTGCACCCCGCCCCCCCCCCCTTTTCCAGGAAACGAACCCCCCTCCCACCCTCAAAACCGAACATCCCCCCTCCCCACATCATGCAACATTTTGCCAGGCATATAATATTTTGCTCTTAATTCGTTAGCAAAGTTTCGTTGCAGCCGATGCAAGCTTCACTTTAAAATTGCAATTGATGCTGAGCAGTTTTTCCATTTGGGCCTGGCCATCAGCAGAGTTGCCCGCCAAAAAACTGAAATGCCGAAAATGAATAGCCAAATTACGACTTACATATGTCTACAAATGGAGTGAATTTATTTTAAGTAGAGGAAGAGACATAATTACTGTCGGCTGTGAATGTTTAGAAGAAAAAAATAATTAATTAAAGAGATTTATGTTGCAAATGTTTATGTTTATAATTTAGTTTTTAATTGCGATTTTTTGGGAAAAAGTTTATAATAACCTTTAAAAGTTAATCAAAGACTTTGATTCAAAGTTTTATAAAAAATTGTATCCAGGAAAAATATATAACATATTAAAGTACAGTCTACATGAAATCTAAGTACGAAAAAAATCCGAAAGCATGGTCACACTTAAAATTATACTTGCTTTAGTAAAAAATAAGGCCAGGTTGGCAGCTCTGGTCCCGTTCATTAGAGGGAGAATGGTAGAGTGGCAGCCAGAGAAAGAGAAATGCGTATTTGATTATCTTTCGGTTCGGACTACGGACCAACAAAGCCATACAAATGGATGCCACAAATATGCATTTTGCAGGCCAAATTGTGCATTTGCCGATGGAGAAAAGTGCACTAAGGGGCATGGGGCGGGGTAATGTGCGGGGGGGGGCTACGAGGGTTTCCTGGGGGAGTTGGAAAAATAGGTCCATGAGTCACAGCAGGCGATACGAATGCAACTTGACTACAATTACTTGACTCGACTGCAAATGCAGTTGCATTCGATTAAGTTCTGTTTACCCAAGAAGCCAAACACTCGGTTACACCATTTTACAACACTTCAAAAAGGGAGTTGGCATGTCCTCTTTGCCAATAGTTTCCCATTCTGCCAGTTTCTGCAAAAATACTGCTTAGGAAGCCAAAAAAAATATATATATGTACAGTTTTTCTCATAAAGAGAGTAAATTGTAGCACTCTGGACATCTTGCATTCCTTTTCTTTCCTTGCCAGTGGATTTTCTTTGAGTTTTATATTACACACTTGTTTTTTGTACTTTGCATTTTTTCTTTACCAAAACCATGTTATACGATTTTAAACGGAATTTAGTTACCATGCTTTACAACTATTCAAAGATTATTTAAAACTTCGATGTGGATTTTATACTAATATTTTTTGAAAGATTTGTAATTAGAAATAATTATACAAAAAATATTACTAAAGCTACATTTTTAAATGTTTGATAATAAGCTTTTCCTTTTTAAACGTCTTTAAAATAAAATAAAAATAAATAAATAAATAATTAAAATAAATAAAAAATATTTTTTCATAATTGTTGTTAACCAGTTGCTTGGATTTATGGATGAATTTAGTTGTATAAAAGTTAAAATATGGAAAATTAAGAACAAAATGAGATAAATCAAACATATTTAGTTGACATTTTAAGTTCTTTGAAAACAAAACAGCCTGCTGGATGCAGGAAGTTGTAATTTTGAAAAGTGCTCAATGAGATCTCCGTATTGTCACGATATTGGAAGGTCCTTCGAATAAGTCCGCTTTTTGGAAGCGCATAAACGATAACATTGCCACACACACAATCCTTGAGTTCTCGCCGTCGCCGGGTAAAGGTTGAGTCCTCTGCAAGGATAACCTTTGTGGCCCGTGTCCTTTTGAACGTTTGCGTTTGCTCAATGGGCATTGAGCAGGCAGCCTTAACCCGCACCGAGCGGAGGCTGTCAGTAATGACCCACTTGTGCTGCCAGCCCTTTTCCCCTGTGTTTTAGTGCATTCAAATGCTCACTCATCAAAATCAAAAGTCAAATTGTCTGTCTAAGCCAAGGAAGCAGCCATAAACAGAGGGCTGGCCAAGTGCGATGCCAACTTGACTGTTTTATAGCCAAAAGTTTTGATTATAAGTATTTTCAATAACCACTTTTTATTTTATATATTAATATTTTTTACCCCAATATAAGTTTAAAAAAATTCAAAAAATTCTTGCTTTCAGATTAAATTGCTTAGTGAATCACCTTAATTCATATCAATAAATAACAATAAAAAGCCGATATGATTAATGTGAAATTTATGATTCAAACATATGAATATATATACTTAAAAAATCAGTTACCTTATAAAAATTACTAAAATACTATATGAAAAATATTACATTTAAATACCAAATGTATAATTTTTTGGCAAATAATGTAAAATAAGATAAAAACGATATTGACATGATTTTACTTAATCTTTAAAAAATATTAAATTGACCTGCACATACCAATGTGATGCTAGCCAAATTTTTTCTGTGCAGCTATCGAATATATTAAAAATGATTTTATCTAGGGAAAGTGATTACCCACCTACTTTTAATATCTCACTTGGCTGCCTTTCCTGTAATCCATGGTGGCCAACACTGGCTTTTGGCTAAAATGGTTCTGGGCAATGCGAGATGCGAGATGGGAAATAGGTATGGGATACCTTCCCCCTCTGGCAATTGCTATTAAGTTCACTTTACGTCCAGAAGTCAAAGTGAAAGTACCGGGGGAATAAAATACGTATACGTATTACCCTGGTACCGGCTGCTATTTATTTTCATTTTCGTGCATTTATGGCTTTATCTCCACTCCACTCCTCTGACACTTTGTCGTTTTTATCGTTTCAGCGTTAATTCGGTTAAGCACTTAAAGCGAAAGCCGGGGTCCACGGAGAGTCCAGAGTCCAGGGTCCACATGGACTGGCAGTTGGCCAGCAGAAGCTGGATGATGGCGATGATGCGTTGACAGGAGTCGCAGAGAACAGCCGCAGCCACATCCACATCCACTGGACAGATAGCACCTGCCCGAGTTTGAATTCAGGCTTTCAGACTTGCAGAACTTTGCCGACGACATCCAGAGCCTCGAACCCATCATGTCCAGCAGTCACTCCGGCACAATTGGCCGTAAACGCGTGGGCAGCGGCAGTGCTGCCAGCAGCGAATATTACTACGCTTCCGGCGGACTGGCAGGACTCGCAGGATCCGCAGGAAGTGGAGCCATCGGCGGCGGCGGGGAGCAGCTGCGGCGCCAGCGCTCCGCCGAGTGGCACAGTCACGGCAGTCGACACGGTGGTCACGGCGGTCACGGTCATGGGCTGAGTCACGGCCTCAGTCACGGACTGGGTCACGGCTATGGGAGCAGCAGCGAGGACGAGTACCAGAACACCGGCCAGGCGACGGCCTTCGACACCCAACTGCTCGCCCAGCTGCTGCTGCAGAGTCAGCAATTGGCAAGTGAGTATACACTGGGGGAAAGGTTATTCAATCTCCATAAATAACATGAAATCGATGGGGAAAAAAATTATAATTGGCCGAAAATAGTACGAGAAAATACAGTCATATATTACTACAATTAAAGTAATTAATAAATAATTTATTAATAAAATTGTAATAAAATTTGTAGGAAAATTATATAATTTATTTAAAGATAAAGAATTTTCTGTAAAATATGAATTTATATCAATAATAGATTCTATTTAATCCAATATGTTTTATGGTGTAAAATCAAAGGTATTCGATTTCCAATACCTATTTTTCTTTATTTAATGGTAAAAATTATACCTTTTTGTATTATATTATCAGTTATTCTTATAAATTATTTATCTCTTTAAAATTATAAAAAAAAAATAAAAAAGTCAAGTAATTTAAATCAGGGATCGTAAATAATCGTTATTTGAGATTTTTATTTTAAAAAGTCTACTGCAATATTTTGTTTTAAACGTCAAAAATAACGTTCTTTTTACTCTTGTCCACAAAGTATATGCATGTCAACAAATCAGCAAAGCAAATTAACTGTTATTTGTCCATGCCTATAAAGTGCATAAAAACCACTTAAATTGTTGATTAAAACTTGTAAAAATCTCAAATAACGATTATTTACGGTCCCTGATTTAAATCTATGGAGAATGTCAAATTAAAAATGATTTTTTGGGAAGCTTAAACAATTATTGAGAAATCTTTTAACAATGCAGCAGGTTCACTATAAATATTATCAATAGTCCACTTTTTCGCCCGGTGTAATCTGAAGGGTTTTCCTAGGACGGATATTAGGAAGCAAATGCGATTTACCAGTCGGTCAAGCTAGTAAATATTCATTATTTTATTTAATTGAATTATTCAGCTGCCGCAACTGTGTCGAGGATGTCGAGTAACGTAACCAACTAACCGACTGGCTTAGGTCCAGGCACACAAATCGATTCCAATTGCTGGCCATTGAAATGGAGCTGGCCAAGAAGATGCTGAGATAAATTTGAGGGGGACGGGGGGCGAGATGTGGGCACTACTGACATTTCTCTGATTGAATTCAGTAAATCGCCCGATGTAACCGGTGAGCCACAGTGAGGACGGCCTAGATAACTCCAAACCTTGATTTGGATTATTATTATTTATTTCAAAAATATTCTAAATTTTTAATCTTAAAATTTCTAAAAATATTTAAAGTCAAATCAAAAGTATATGTTAGTTTAGTTATAAACCAGGTCAAAAAATGTAAGGTTATTATTAAAATTAGATAAAGCGAAAAAAATACAATTTACCATATCATTATTAAATGGTAAAAGTCAGGAACCTTAAATACAAGTTTTTTTAATCTCAAAAATATATATATATCATTTACTCATGCCCCTTGAAGACAAAAACAAATGTTTATATTTTTGACTTAATAGTGAACAAAAATCGGTCAAATTTAACAAAAAATAACAATTGCTCTCATTTTTATGCATCGATAGAACTCTTTACTCTTTATGATCGCAACTTTGTGTCTGTAAATTGTAGCCCGTTTACAAGGACATTAAGTGAGTCAATGAGGGATGACAAAACTGGCACTTAACTGCGAGTTTTCACTGTACTTTCACAGTACTCCGACGGCAGCACCGCGAACGTCAGCAGTGTGCAATTCAATTACAATCAAGTTGGCAGCGCCGGCCTAATGGCCGATACAATGGGCACATCCTCTGTGATATTATCCCCCCACCGCCCACTCGCTTTTCCTCCCGCTTTTCCCGCCCACTTTTTGCCGGAGCAAACTTAATCGAAGCATAAAACGCAAATCGCAGCGACTACCGAGGCGAACGCTCTTTTACGGGCCGCCTGCATTTGTTTCGCTTCGTTTTATTGTCTGTTAATATTTAATGCAATTTACGATTCATTTTTTACAACCTAATAACGCTCGGACGAACGCGACGACGATTCCTCCTCGCAAATTGTTTGCCGGCCGTTACTCTTGCGGGGAAAATTGAAAAGCCAGCTTCCCTTTTCCCAGCTTTTCCGCAGCTTTCCACGCAGCAGAACAAACAGAAGCGACGTCCTGTGGCGTGGAAATTGTAAATGTTTGGCCTCCGCAGAGAGCTGCACAAATGTTTGATCGCATTGTAGACAAGCGAACATGGTACTATTGCCTTTATGGATTCTCTAAAATCAGCCCATGCTTTTTAATCGAATTGAAATTTGTGCGAAAAAGGAGTGCAAACTGAACACAGAGTTGAAGTGGTTAGTTGATTACATTTTTCAGTTTATTTTGTACTTTGCAAAATTAGAATTTCCTAAATTAGTTACTATTAATATTTTTTTAAAATAAATATTAAATGATTAGGTGCGATCTGTAAAGGTTTTTAAAGTAAATCAAATTTATGTACCTATATTCTAAATGTAATAATAATAGTGTTTATAATGAAATGTAGGCAAATTAATAAAGATTTTTGTTCAAATAATATCAGCCAAATATGCTCTTAAACAAGAAATATAAAAAAAAATATTAACAATTTATTTAAATAAATAATTGTACATTTTTTGTTTAAATATTTAAATATGATTATTTCAATTTGATATTTCTTATTTCATTAAACCAACGAAAATGGAACAAAACCAATCTAACGAAAATATGAATTTTTAAACGCATACCTGCATATACATACATATATTTTAATTTCTTATGCAATTATGACCTGCTTAGAACACGTGCTGTTCACCATTCGAGCATTTCGAATTGAGAGGCCGTATCATATCACGAGCTTTTTGGTTGTGCATGTTTATACAAACTGAATTGAACTAATTGGCCTTTGGGTTTTCGTTGTTTTTGCAGGCATGGAGCACTACAATTCGGACTGCGAGCCGGAGTATCTGAGGCAGCGCGATCTGCGGCATCTGGAGGACGCGCAACTGGGCGACGCCACGCCCACGGTGGCGGCGGTGGCCCCCGCCCCCGCCACCGAGGTGACCTACGCGCAGCCGCACCAGCAGCGCTCCTCGATGGCGGGGTCACCGCTGAAGGTGTCCACCGTTTCGGCGGGCAAGTACCAATCGAATGCCAATCTGGGGCTCTTTCCCAACAGCAGCAGCAGCGGCGGCAGCAGCGTTCAAAATGGAGTGGCCAATACGCCGCGCAGCACCAATCCCTTTCTGAACGGCGCCACGAAGTTTCCCGGCGAGGACAGCGGAGTCCTCGAGAACATCCTCAAGACCTCGGCCTCCTCCTCGACGGCCGCCTCGTCGAGCAATCGCAGCCATCGGAACAACCGGAACACCTTGAATCGCCTGAGCGGAATGACCAGCTCCAGCAGCGATTCGCAGACCCACCAGCAACTCCAAATCGCCCAGCAGCAGCAGCAGCAACAGATTGCCGCCGTGAAGCAGCAACAGCAACTGCTGCCGCCGGAGGACAGCGGCGACGATGAGTTCGTCCTGGGTCTGGGATCCCTGGACGTGGGCCACTGCAGCAGCGGCGGCGAGTCGGATGAACCGCCGCCGGAACCGGCGCCTCCCGAAATCCCACCCCGCACCCAGTCGCTCCTCATGTCCCTACGCAAGCACTCCGACTACAAACTGAAGTACGAGGAGAAGGGCGACCAGAAGCACGAGGAGTTCATCCCCACCAGCCAGCTGCAGAAGGGTGAGTCTACCGAAATTAGTGAATAGCGAGTGGGAAAGTTGGGAACAGGATCTGGATCAGGATGGCAAGTTGCTAGCCCTTTTTAATATATTTTCTTATGTATTAGTTACTTCAATCTATTGAATACCTGAGTTCAACAATTATTTTAGGGGTTTACAAATGAAATAGTAAAATATTTCGGTATTTTTATATCGCCCTTAATTCATTTAATATTTCATTTCAACGAATATTTTTAGGATTTACCAATAGCATTTTGATATTTGTTATATCTTATATCAGAAAATAGATACTCCTTAAAGATATTTTTATCTGCTTTTATAGAAAATTCGTTTTTTATATTTTGGCATTTTAAAATAATTAAAATTTTATAAAAATTATCCAAGCCTTATTTTTTAGAAAAATATGTAAAATGGATTGGTCATGTATCGCAGGATATTGCTAAACATGTAATATAAAATTAAAAATTAAAATAGTATTTTAAAGAGGAATTTGTACAGTTTATATTCGAACGGGTTAAATTCAAAAAACATTTTAAAAGCGAACATTTGAATAGTAAAGAATTAATCAGGTAAAAAAATAGAATTACTCAAATTGCCAATCTAATGTTCAGTTAATATTGTATGATTTTTATATGCATGCCACCTCATTCATTAGAAAAGGAAAATGATTTCAAAAGAAAGGGAAAAGAAAGGGAAATATTTAATGAAACAAGGAAAAAAAAACTGGGAAATTGCATAAAATACATAAAGCTTTTGGTCCCAAGCTTTTTGGTACACTTTGGTACCAAACAGGCGATGTATTTCGGAAACCCAAAAGCTTTTCGTCCTTTCGAGAATCTTACTCCTTTAACAGAGTTTTCACAGCCATT